TATATATATATATTATATATATAATAATTGTATATAGCCAGAAAGGGTTATGTCCATTCTTGAGAGGTCATCTAGCATCCTACAGAACTTGCAGAGTTGAAGACATAAAATTAAGTAAAACAGTAGCATCCTGTGTGGGGAAAAGTGCTAAAGAGAACTTGGAGCAAAATTTTTAAGCATCCGTTTATTTTTGTGGTACCATTCCTCATACTAGACAAGGTAAGGTATCATATATTTGTCTGATATGTTCTTCACCCCGAGGAGTCCCAACATTGTAAACATTATTTGCTCCTTTTTGGCAGGGTTGCATGGCACACGTCAAGAAGAAATGATTGATCACAGGCTAACAGACAGAGAATGGGCAGAAGAATGGAAACACCTTGACCATGTAAGGGCTAAAGATACAGTTACATATGATTGTCTGAAAGAAGCCCTTCTAAGACAGGAATTTAAACTTTTTCTTTTAAAATAAATCTGAATCCCTGGACAAGTTTTGAAAACGTTGTCAAATAAATCTAGGGGCTTGATATTCTTCATTAGGTAGCTCGTATTAGACCTTGTTTGCCTATTGCAGTATGCTAAGTATTGCAGACTGCCAAAAGGGGAGTGGACACTGCTCCATTAACCCCGGATCTGGAATACATGACCATCACCCTTAGTACTGGTTAAGTGGATTTGTTCTTTGAATTTATTAACTCTTACATTTGTAGGCATCAGTTCTGGATGAGGTCTCCTGGCCTTTGTGGTGCCATGTGACACTAGTGGTGGGACTACAGTCTGTTCAGTCTTTTCCTCCTTGTTTTCTCCCTTTCCCCCAGAAGTCCATATCTGTACAGTTTAGGATCACCAGTTAGACAGGAATGGATTGTCATTCTTAAAAGCAAAAGTATATTTTTTCGGCTGTATTTGAAATAACAGGGAGAGACTTCTAAATTCTTAAAACCCAGGCACTCAGCACATTAAAGTTTTATTTTTCTGTCAGTTTATGAATAAAATGTTATTTTTTCTTTCTCTGCTCCATCCACCACCGTGAATAGCTGTTAAACTGCATAATGGACATGGTGGAAAAAACTAGACGATCTCTCACTGTACTACGGCGATGTCAAGAGGCAGACCGTGAGGAGCTTAATTACTGGATACGGCGGTACAGTGATGCTGAAGATTTAAAAAAAGGCGGTAACAGCAGCAGTAGTCATTCCAGACAGCAGAGTCCAGTGAATCCAGATCCAGTTTCATTAGGTACAGTATCCTGATTAAAAATTGTTTATCAATACTGTTTCAGCTCAGCTACATGTTAGATGAAGTTCGTATTTGTTCTTCTGATTCTTGTTTTGTGACAGTGATGAAATACTCCTCTCTACTGACTACTGAATTAACTATAACTGATGCCCTAATAGTCATGTTTGCATGTGAAATGGCTTGGTGGTTTTGATGATACTGGGTAACTTGCTTTCCATTCAGCAGTGTCTGAGAGTGGTGGGGCAGGAGGACAGACTATCATGTAGGGATGGCAGAGCAGTGATATGTGCACTGCCTCTCCATCCCCTCCGACCGCCTCCCTTGACTGCTTGATTAAGGAAATCTGTAGGTGCTTCTGGATTGTTAGCACTGTGAAACCAAGGGCTTTTACCTTCTCAAATCAAATTATTAACTTGGAAATTGTCTTTTCTAAGGAAATGAAAGGAGATATAAAAATATGGGCACTTCTTAGCTGTATTTGGTTTCCATATAGGAAAGAAACAGCATCTGGAATGCCCACAGGTTTGCACATGTGATCCTCCTAGTTCTGTGTGCACCACTGCAGCTCACACAGGTGTGTCAGAGCTACTTTGGGTACTGCTTGCTGTGTAGTTACAGAGAGACACACTCAGAGCTTGGCTCAAGCTGCAAAACCCACTTAAAAGAAGCAGACCAAGCAGTTAGACTTTGACCCCCTGCAGACTTCAACAGTTACACTCACACAGTACCTCACACAACTACTCCAAGACGACTCTACAGTATAAAAACAAACTTTTGTGGCCTTTCTGTAATTGATTAATATGTTGGTCTGCTTCTACCCCATCCTCTCACTTTTATGGCACGTGTGGTAAAGAAACACGTATTGGCAATGCCTTTTTATCATTCTCTGCTCTTTTGAAGAGAACAACAGAATATGATTGCTTGTCTAATATTTATCTTTAAAAAAAGTAAATTGTCTATATCGAATGCCATCTTCTTAAAATAATCATAAACTGTGGTTATTAGTAGAACTGAATGTGTGTGTTGTTTTACAACTATATTTTATTTAAAGCTGTGTTTCCCTTTTGCCCTCAAGAATAACTTATTAAATCTAAAACTTCTTGATTTGCAAATAGAAGAACAGAGAAACAAATCTAATGCCCTTTCCATCTTCCTCTTGGTAAATCTCTAGAGTTCTTACTGTAATATTTAGTGCTTCTTGATAACATACAAACCCTTTTTTTAGTGTGTCAAATGATCTGAGCCAATAGCTCTATAAATTAACTTCAGTCAGTGAAAGGAAGGGTTATGGAAATGCTGTTCTAAACTTCACTAATAAGTCTAGTCCCTAGAGGAGTCCTTCTCAGAAAGAAGCATTCAGGTAATGGCTTGCACGAATAGTGTTAAATGTAATGTGAAGTTCAACTCAAACATACATCTGAAATGTCGATCACATCTGCAGCTTCGGGAAGAACACTTGTGAGGAAACCCCTAGATCAAAAGCAGTGGCATCCATCTCCAGTAAAGCTATGATGCAAAAAAAGCCAGACCATGGTGCTTGTAATTATAGTTAGTATGTAAAAAAAAAAAAAAAAAAAAAAAAAAAAAAAAAAAAAAAAAAAAAAAAAAGGAAACTGAGTTTTTATAGTTTTCCCAAAGAAACTGGAACTCAAGACATTAATCAAAACTTTATGGATTATAGTACAAACCAAGAAGAATAATCATAGCCACAACAACAGTAACAAAAGATAAAATGTAGATCAAAAATGTAATTAGATCCCTATATTATTATATTGGTTTTGTATTTGTCCAGATGAATTCTTGGAAACAGCAAAGTCTATTTGCTTAAAAAGACATTATATGGCACAGCCTTTGGCACTGGACACACCAGTCACCTCTGCAGTACTATTGGTACAGCTGAACTGGTTGGAGTGAGTCCATTTCAATTTTAACATGCCCATTTTGGTTATATGGCTTTAAAAACTACTTCCCTAGACTTATGGATATGAAACTTGGATTGCTTCAGTGATATAGCATCCATGTCAATCGTAAATATTGATTAAAAAATGCTTTTATATCTTGACATGTAAGGCATAAAATACTTTGGAGTCTATGGAAAGCTAATCCTTATATTTCCTCAAATCTGGTAGTAATCTAGTTAACAAAAAGAAAACTCATAATGTTCAGCAGTATAATAAAATTGAAGCAGTGCCTGTGAGCTTGAGATGCTGTTCTGCTTAGAGTTTTTAATTTTAGTTTGGAAGTGAGGAGGATGGGGTTGAAAAAATCCTCCAACATTTTAATTAAAGTACCGCAACATGTAAATATCGGTTTTTGCTTCATGGATTCTAAATGTCAGTGACTCCCCTTTGTACTTTTTTTTTTTTTTTTGAGAACGAGGTAATCCACCCTTTAAATCCATCTTGTCATCTTCACTAGCAAGAGGAAAAAAAAAGATGGGGGTGGGCATATGGCTACATTGTCTGTGCCTTTGTTTCTTTTTCTTTATGATTAAAACATCATCACTGAAGTGATAAGTTCTCACTATAAACATTATGCCATGGTCTTCATAGATAGCTCTTGCAAAAAACTCTGAGCTGGAATTTAGCGTAGATACTTTGAGTCCCAAAGAAATGGAAGAAAATTCTGGTCATCATTTTGAACCAGACCTTTTTTTCTGCCAAAGGTTTTTGTGCTTCTTTTAATTTGACATCCCTGTAAATCATGCTGAGCTTGACAGTTCACAGTATCTAATCAATATTCTTCTGTTGATATTTTTAATTAAGAAATCAAATGAAATATTTGATAATTCGTTTTAAAGCAGGGTAATCCAATAATGCATTAGCCAGCTACAACAGGTTACAAGCTCTCATTATTTATTCTCTGAGAGTATGTTGAAGGTAAGATGGGTCCATTCTTTTCAGTCTGAATAATACATGTTTATGAAAGTCTAAAAATGACTCAGACTTCATATATATTCACTTGATGAACTGTGATGGTCTATGAAGTGAATAATACATCATCCAACTCCTCCATTTCTGCTGAAGAATTTCAGTGCTACGTACTGCAGCAGGACTGCAACTTTCATCCTAATAGTGAATAATTACATATATCAGACAATGTATACTGAAATACACACAGTCAGATAAATTAAAGATGAGGGTTCTTCAACATCGTGGGCTATAAACAAGATCTACAACCTTATTGAGTGCAGCTGTGGCTCTAGATAAGTGGTGTAGGCACACATCAGAAGGTCTGCAGCGATGTTGATATTTTGTGTCTGTTGAATTTATCTGAATGGAAATCTTACAAAACAGAGTTTGAAATCTCCAACTGAAGAGTGCCAATACCTGCAGCATTTGCTTCAGGAAGCCAGGATTCTCAGAAGTATATGAATTTTTCAAAAATGCGTACGTTAGCCATTTCTTAATACATTTTTAAATGTTAACCCTTTCAGAGGTAGTTTATATTTTATCAAAGGTTTTTCACCCTCGTATTTTCAGTGTTAGTTAGGGCATTCATGCCGATATATGTCTGTTCATGCTGTGATTATAAAATCTTTACCATTTGCAGATAATCAGCATTGCTGTGATATGCATGATAGTCTCAACATGAGCTAACAGGAATGCTGTGAATACCACAGTAACATTTATAACTTGTAATTCTAGAATGTAAAGCCTCTGTAATACTGGTCACTGATATGAAGTATTGCTCTTAATCCACTCGCTGCATGGGAAGTTTGGGCTGTATTGTGGCGTACTGAATTTCATGCTGTTAGGTAGGGCTACAGCTGCAGAGACATTGTGAGTTTGTATTGTTAGCATTTATTTCTGAACTCCTTGGGACTAGGACCACTTTTATCCATTCCATGTACCACCCTTGTCCCTGTCGTGCTACGCAAAATAACTCATAGGTGGCATAAAAGCATCTATTGCTGGTAGTTATTGGAAGCTTGATCTTGCTTTTTTAAATACAATTTCACATGTTTTCAAGGAGTGTTATGATAGCAACAGAAAAGTGTAAGAGGGCAAAGAAGGATGTACATAAAAATACTTGAAACTCACACCCTCCAACAAGATTAGCAAGGTAATCTCATTCAGTATTACACTTCAGATCTGTATCTATATATTCCATTAACTGGAGTGGCACACTACTCTTACAAGGTAGTGAATATTTATTCCTCTGAGAAGTTTGTTGCCTATGTCCCACCAACAGTGTTACATTTATTATAGGGCAGAATGAAGCAAAACTTGCATATGATGTATGAAAAGCATATAAACTCATATATAGTTCATTTAGTTCAGAGCTGATTATATGCAGCTTTTATTATACTTGAGCCCTAAAGTTCACTATAATGTTGTTGCCAGTGTTTTCATAAATACAATAACTTCTAAAGATCTCCAAAAGATCATCTGTTCATCTCTGTTTCTTATTATTTTATTGTAGGCTTTGATGTCATTGTCCAGTGGCAGAAACATCCATTCTTTTATATTTTCAAGCCATCTTCTGTTCCTTCTTTCCAAATATGAATAAGGCTTTTTGACAATTTTGAACACATCTTTTCCTTTTAAGTCTTTCTATTCTGTTTTCTTGGGTTTGGTCCTTATTATATGAGAGTTTACCTCCTTTATTTGGTCCTAACTTTTTTTCTCATTTTCACTTTCCAGACCCATATTTATTTCTGTTCTTACAACTTCACATTCTCTCTCAGTACTTTCAGCACCTCTTCTCCGTATCTTAAAACCCCCCAAAAATAAGTGGTCTACAGGATATTTCTATTTGCTGAACACCAGAAACCTGTTTGATCAATTAACTGATGATGATTCTTATGGTTGAATGCATTCTTGAAATAAATAATCAGGGCTCATATGAAATGTGGCAGCATATTGTGACTATAGGAAATTTTTTGGTGACTGTTTTCTTTCTTATTAAAAAAAATATCCAGGATAGACTAAAAATAACACTTTTTCTATCTATTTTAGAAAACAAGTGTTATGTTGTTCCTTGCTATTGAACAGAATGTGAGGTCTGAAACTGAGACCATTTTTTCTGTCTTTTCCTCGTACGTCTTCTCATGTGCCAGTCCAGCAGCTTTATTGCTGATGAGTATATTTCACATTAAGATAGAAAAATCCAAAACCATTTTTAATTTCAAAATCTATTTTATTTTTACTTCATACAGACTTTTCACAGGCAAGTGTTGATTATATCATGTATACATACTTTTTGTTTTCCTTGTCAGGCTTTTTCATATGGTTCAGTAGGAACCAGACTGATTATCAAGAAGTGCTCTCAAACCGTGCCTCTACATTAATTTCAAGTAAATTCAGTAATGTGCATCCCTTTGTTCTGCATAATAACACTGTTGCATTTTCACCATTAACAAATCTGTATTATGTCTGACATGTAAAGCTTTTTCTGTTATCCTTTTTGGTGTGAGCTACCTTGTCGCTTCAAGTTGTTCCTAATTTTCTCTGATTTAATTCCATTTCCCTCCAAGCAGAATTTATTTGTACTTCTAGATGCTGTAGTCAGTGAATTAATATAGCGCATTCTTCCTTATAATGGCTTTTTGCAGTTGGTTTTACGTTTAGTGTTTTAGGAACTTCACTTGATTGTGTTACTTTTGCTTTGAGTTTGCTAGATGACCAAGTTAAGATCTTTTATGTTTTAGTTTCACTGAGCAAGTTCTATGATTCTTAATCTGAAGGACACCTTACCTTAAAAATAATAGTACATCCGCTGGTCACATCCTGTAGTTTAATCCCTAAAATAAGATTGTTTTTGTGGACTCATCACCACTGACTAAACAATAGCCATGTTAATAATATTTTTCTTGCTTGCAAAATATGGTTTTTATTATCTTCATAAGTGCTTCTTGTCTTTTTTGTGCGCCATTCCAAACTATGGGAAAGTTTCTCACAAGTTCTTGATTTAATTCTTACAGAGGATCTCATTCCTCATGTAAATAATTTGTGGTTGGAATAAGAACTTGATTGATGTTTATGTTTTGGAAATTTTAACAATTAGCTGGAAATCTGGCCATTTATGTAATTTAATTCCAATTTTGGAAAGTCATGTGTACCAGAAAAACAGCTCCACATCTCTTTGTTTTTAATACTAAGTAAGTACCAGGGTAATGGGCTTAAAACAGGGTTATGGTCCCCTTGCAGTGTATGGTAGCTTAAACAGCAGAAAAGAAAACTTAACACAGAATAAATGAATGCAACTAACCCCTTGTTTTGCCCCATTTGAAGTCTGGTTGTGTCTTTTCCTGCAGTTATTGCAGGAGAGCAAATAAGAGAATTTTAATTTTTCACCTTTAGTTTTACTGAGCTTCAACCAATGTTTTCTGCTGCCACCTCTGTCCCTGACTGAACCAGCACTGTTCCTGTTAGTCTAAAAGCCTTCAAGGGATGGGAGGAGTGTATACAACGATATTGTTGTCTCCAGAATCATATGAGCCAAGTGACACTGAGAATTTCCCCATTTTCAGCGTCAGATCTGAAGTCCTCTGTCATGTTAATTAAACCCATGCAAATAGATAGCTGTTTTGCAGAATCCTGCACACACATTTACGTACACACACCCATCATTTTTTGTTTGAGAGGTGTGAGATTCTACCTACAAAAATCTGGTTTATTTTCATCCCATACTTTAGTGACAAACAGAAGAGCTGGGGAAATCCACTCAGCTGCCTGTCAGCTGGGACGATTCAGTTCATCCATTCGGTGTCTGCAGATTCATGTGCTAGAAACTGCATCTGTGGAACAGTGCCCAGGGATTGGGATTCCCTGCTCCGTGGCTACCTGGAATGGCCTCCTGTTGTTTCCACCTTTGTTAGCTGTCTGCAGTATTAAATGTCATCTTTTAAATTTATTTTAAGTTTCTGTAGCCTACAGTACTGCATGCATGTGTATGGTGGTGTAAAAAATGATTTGCAAAGCTAATCATTATTCAACCTTTTTCTTAAAGATACTATTTTTTACCAAGTTTTCAAATAATAACTTTAAGATACAAAAATGAATGTGTTTAGTAAAAATTAGTATTTAAAGAATAGCATATGTACTTTCGTTATGTTTCAAACTCAGATATCGAATAGCATGTTTAATTCCTACCAACATCTCTAAAAAGATGCAGACCTTACCTCTAATGTAATAAATGAAGTTATTTTGTTTTGACAATTGAATTCTATCATGCAGGCAATAGTAGTCATAGCAATGAACTTTTAAGTTCGTTTTCTTTTTAATTCTCCTCTATTGCTCTGAAAAACAGTTAATCAGTTTTTAAATTGTATTTGAAGAGCAGCTTTTCATCTGCTGAGAATCTGTAAGCTAAATTTCAGGCCAAAGTGAATTTTCTTTCTATATTGTCTGATCTTGCCTCTTTGAAGTCTGTGTGGAAGGGATCTTGCTGCTTTCAGAGCTCTTAGGCTCAGGCCCAGAGGTTAAACCCTTTTAAAAAAGAGGAGGAGGGAGAAAGAGCTGTCGAAATGTGATTGAAATATATGGGTGAATTACAAGCTTCAGCTCCAGTGAGGTTGTTTGGCAGCATATGTATTTAGGGGCTTAACCTAAAGTTAAAGGTTCTGTTTTTCAAACTTGTGCAGCTGCAGTTGCCAACATGGGCTCAGATATAGGAAAGCGTAGCTCTGAACATGTAGAAACACCCCTTTCTTTTTCTGTGGACAGCTTATTTGATCACTAGAATGACATCTTGGCTTTTATCTCTGCTCATCAGTAGCTATTCTGTTTTCACAGAGCAGAAGTGCCAAGCACAGACTGTTGCCCTCTTTCTTCTTCCTTTTCATAAACATAATGACAAAGAATGAAGCACATCATTCCCTCAGTAGGTCTTGAAAAGACAGCCTTAAAAGCATTGAAACTGTCATATAGAGTTGATTTGAAACACTGTAAAATAAAAATAAAGCGAACTAGTCTCGGCTTGGCTTAAGATGAGACATTTGAGTCCTAAACGCTGGTTTATGTGACATTTTGTGAGCTACAGCCACAGCACCCGTTTTATTTTGAATAAAGAATAACTTCATGTGATTTTTTTGTCTGAGCGATAAGTAAAGGGAAATGGTATTTCTCTAAGCCTTGTTCTCAACAAGCAAGCTTTGCTTACGATGTTCTTTTTTTTTTCTTTTCCTCCACACCCCCTCCTCCTGCAGAATCGCATCGGGAATTCCTTCACAGGCCTGCGTCTGGATACGTGCCAGAGGAGATCTGGAAGAAAGCTGGTAAGAACTGTTTAAAAACACCAGCTTAGTCTTCTGGCAGCTGTATGCAGTTGTTAATGCACTGATGTGAGGAATGGAAAAAAAGAAAAAAAAAAAAAAGGCTGACTAGTAACAAGAAGAAACTGTGTTTAATAATCTTAAACGAGAACTGATCAGGACATAAAATAATCTCTACAATAGAAGCATCTGCTGCTATAGTTAGGGGGATATCAGTACTGCCATTAAAGACCCCTATACCCCTATTTTCAGGCTGAAACTTGATATGCTAAAGTTTCAGACTGCTAGCAATTTAAAAAAAAATAGTGTGGGTTTTTTTTTTCTTTTTTTAACCTTCTAAGATTCTTACCTAGTTAAGTTAAGAATTCCCAAAGGAGAGGAAAAAACCTAAGTATACCTGTTAAAGAAAAACCTTCAGCTATGCAATGTAACCATTCTTAATTTTAAAAAGATTTTGTGCTTGTCAGCCCCAGTGAAGCCTGTACTCATAAACCTGCAAAGTTTTCAATGATGTAAGCAAGATCGCATCTCTGCAGCTGCTCTGGGTGGTTCCATGGGCATTGACAGTGTCTTCCCCAAGCTTGGAAAGCACCATGGGCAGATGCTGTGGTTGCGCAGAGTTTTCTTCAACACTTTGAAACTCTGCCTGGGCACAGGAGTTTCCTGATGAGGATACTGTTGCAGTGCTGATTTGCTCTTTTGACACTGATATCAGAGCTTCCTTGTTCTCAGAGGGGCCAGGAGGTAGCTCTTGAACTCCAGCAAGGCAGTTGAGCCTCACTCATTCACACACTACTCTTTTGAACACCTGTATAACCATGAAGTCTACTGCAGCTGTCTGAGCAGAAGTTAATTATTAAATGGCAAATATGCAGTAGTTTAGATGCTTTCTGATCAAATGTCCTGTAACTGCTTGCTGCTTCTTGGTGTATTTTAAACTAGATACAGAACATAATGTGTAAAATGTCCTGCTGATGTATTTTTGCATCAGACACAAAGTTGTGTTTTTTCTGTGATGTGAGTTTATCATGTAAAGTCTACCTTTGTTAATATGTAATATTTTTTTTTTTTTAACTGCTGTGGTTTATATAAAAAAAAAAACCCAAATAATCTATAACTTTATTTTGTCGAAGGAAAGTGTAGCCTTTAAAACTCAATGCTCTTTTGTACCCAAATGTGTTTTTATAGTTTGTTTTGCCATATTTGTGTTTACATGTTAAATGAAAAATAAGGAAAAAAAAAATGTAGTCCCAGGAAATCGCAGTAAGAGGAGCATTATTCAGCTGAATTTCAGGAACTTTGTTCCTCTTGCAAAATCTACATTTTGATGTCAGGTCATTTATGACTCCTAGACGTAGTACAATAGAAGAAAAAGAGTTTCTTTATAAGGTAGCAATACAAGAAAAGAAGTTTCCTCATAAGCTAGCAACACAAGTTAATTGAAGCTTTTGGCTTGAGCTATAAAATTGGATGTGCATTCACATTGCATATATCCACAAATGGTAGCATACAGGAGCTGTGTCATGCCATCTTGTGAACATATACAATATAAGTTGAAACAAAGTTTTCCCTTTGGTTCCATTTCCATTCTATATTTTCATGCTGTTGTGGATTTAAATCATATTCCTTGTATTAACTAAGCATGCTTGTGAATTGGAGAATAAGAGAAGTCTGACTCTCTACAGGATACATACCTGTATCTATTACTAATAATAGTAAAACATCAGAAAGCATACTGCTTTTCATAAATCATGAGCCTTCATTTTCAGGAGGGTGCACTGAAGTTGGAGGTCTCCACAAGTTCATAATTGGTTCAAGGTAGTACAAGTGCGATTCAGCTCTGTAAGAATAGGTCTCTAGTGCTGTTTGAGATGCTCTTTAGTTTTCTGGCTGGGCTGCAGCTGCCAGTCAAGAAGGCTGCAAATCTCTCACAAGGCATTTCTGCTGGCTCAGTGTGGATATCTTGGTATATCAAATGTTAGTAAAGACCAATGTGTAGACCAGTGAATCAAGTATAAAAGTCTGATTGAGATGCTGAATCCATTGAACTGAAAGAATTTGGCTTTAAAAACTGTTAATAAGCAAGCTCAAAAGCATATGAAAAAGGGATTCACTTTTGGAGATTATGATAGACTCCAGTGCAACTCTTTAAATATACTAAGTTAAGAAAGAGCTTTTTTGATTGTTGGAGCAAGCACATAGAATGCAGCACCTTGTGAATTAAAGCCACATGAACCCAGTTCAGTTCCATACATCAGTGGAAAGTCGTCAGTGTCCTGATTTACCTCATTGAATGATGGCTATGTAGATGAAGAGTCCAAAGCAAGCTCTTGGTGTACCTCCATAGTCAAGAGAGAGGCAGGCTTGTGAAGAGAATCAGTCAGGTCATAGGTTGGATGACTTACTCTCTGGAAATACCTGTTTCTCTTTATTAAATACTGAGGGAAACCCAGGCCCACTGTGGGATGCTGCCTTAGCTTCTTTCTATGTCATGAGGAAACTGTCTTCCAGCCATCTCCTATCACACAGCAAGACCTACTCTTCATGGTAGTTCTGGACTGGAGTTACCAGTTACTCAAGTTACTTACTGGAGTTAAGCTCTGGAGTTACCAAACAGGTGTGGAATGACATACGTTGTCATACAAAGACAGTAAAGACCCTGCACATTCGCCAGGAAAGAGATTGTGGTTTTTGGAGTATGAAGCTGAGATAACTCATATCACCAGTTCCCAGTGGCCTGCTTTGCCAGGGTCAGCCTGAGAATGAGGTAATGCAAAATGTCATGGTGGCACAGGACAGCAACTCCGCCCACCACCTTTCTTTTTTCATCATGTGGATTGAGTGTGCCCATGATGTGAGGGAGGTGACCAGGAGCTGGCTGGTGAATCATTATTTTGGGCTAGATACAGGAGTGAATGATGAGTCAAGTATCTCTCCTGAGTCAGCTCCAGGGACCTCTGTTCACACTGAGCAATGCCTATTCCGCACAGGCTGTTTGCTCCCTGGAGCTTCTCTCATGAGTTAGCACTACTCAGAGGGAAGGAAGATAAAGGCAAATAAAATTTCCTTCGCTGTCACTCATAACTTTGCTGCACAAATATTACAGTTTTTATTGTTATCTGAAACTGTGAAGCCTGCATTCTTTGTCTATAAATACATGGAAAAATTTAAGAAGATGTGCAGAAAATTAGTGATAGGAAATTTTGTCTATTGTATGTGGCTGTTCATTACATATTTGTATGTAATGTTCATACAGTATTGAAATAATGGTGGTGCATTGTGACCAAAAAAGGCTTCATTTTAACTATTTGTTTTCACACTCAGTATATCACTATACAAATTCTGTTGTCAAAGGTAGTGGAAATACTAAAGTCCAATCCATAGTTTATGCCAATTAAAAAGTATTGGTCCTTTTTCTTCAGCATATGGCCCCATAAGCACGTTTGGCACCTTCACACTCTCAGAAGCTTTGCAAAAACATTTATGCAATACAGAAGTCAGAATATAAGGTTCGATTTCTATATTTGGGCAGAAAAGAAGTAGATTATGTAAGAAGAAAAACTATAAAATTAGAATTTTCTGTAAAATGTTGAAGTGTTCTGCTTCCATTTCAAAATAGTTTAAACTGGCATTTCTAACCACTACAAACACCTCAATGTAAGATTAATTTGTATGATGTAATGAAAGTGCATCATGCCATACAAAGATAATTTCTATTCATAGCAAACATCAGTAGGAATACAGATTTTCTCAAAGAAATACACTTTGTTAATAACAGCAGTTCATAGACACAAAACATCTGTATTTAAGTTGCCTCATTTTTATGAAAATGGTAATAAAATTGTATCTGTATGTTTGCCTGTGTATATTTCTTTTCTCACACTCAGTGAATGTTTGCAGTTGGTAATAAATATTCAAGCACCTTGCAAATGTCCTACCAATTCCCTTTGCTGATCTGTGTGTGCCTGTGGGACTAGAATAGGAATGCATAATTTAAATATAAATTGCCTGATTTGCATATACAATTAGACTAGCTGCAGCTTTGATCGTAAGCAAAAATTATTGTCCTGTATTGCCACTTAGATAGAATTTTAATTCACCTTGAATATTCAAAGTAAATTAAGCCTTGGCTGTATGGTTGAAGGGTACGGTTTTTTCCTCTCCTGAGGCTTTGCCCTAAACAACATTTATGGTAGGGTAATATAAGGGCATATTTTCAGCCTCATAAAAATAAAGGCATGAGTTTTATCTCTAAATTCCCCTCCCTTGAAAACTTTAGTTGAAACATCTCTCACAGACATGCAAACATGTAACACACAGACACACACAGAATAATAGAACTCTTCTTTCATTTTAATTAATTCAGTTTTAGTCAGTACATGGCTTAAAGTTAAGTCTTTATTGTAATTTGCTTACTAACTGAAAATGGAGACTTCATGTAGTCATTTTTTAAAGAATAACAAGTACAGAGCTATGAGACATAAAAACTCAAGAGTTACTGACTTAGCATGTGTGTATTTACGTGCATGTCCGTGCACACAAATACATGGACTAAAACTCAAACCCGTTATACAGTTGTAATACATAGATTTTAATCTACATTAAAACATTTTTATTAGAAATCTATGTTTTTAATTAAACAGAACATTTAATTAAGGTGGTTTTTAAGTGGATGAAACAATTAAGTGCAAACACTTGAATGAAACATGTCATAATTAGTTTTAATAGAGTGTTAATTGGTACTAGGTTTGCCAAGTTAATAATTACTCCTTATTAAATATTCAATTAATCATTGTCATTTTGCTTTGAATAAAGATGAAAATTAGATAAACTAATTCAGGGGGAGGATGGTTTCCTTGTTAATTAGAGCAGTTAATTAAAAAAAAAAAAGAAATTACTTGTTTTAGTTGTCAATTAAAAGACTGTTCATTAGTAAAATCTTTGCAGTCTTCCTGCATCAAAACCCAAATAACTAATTTGTGACAATTCATGTTTTCCAGAGTAAAAGATATGACCCTAGTTATGTACCAAAGAAATGACTCATACTGACTTAGTTATTTTAGAAAACGCGTGAAGGTTTGAATTTAATGTAGCGATGTGCCCCTGCTCAGTGTTAATAGAGCACTGCAGCCTTGCTGGCTGTGGTGCTCTCAAGAGCTCGGCGGAGCCAGGAAGTCAAGTCTTCACAGTATAAACATGAGTTTGAAGGGGAGATCAAAAGGTCGAATGAATGTTCATAAACAAATTTTAATTTTGGCTCGTAAAATTATATGTCCAGAAAAAGATATTAGATCAGTGATTTAAAAATTTTAAATCAGCTCTTGTGGTTTTTTTAACATCATGTATTTATTCATTAACATATGGGGAAAGAAAATTGATAATGACTATAAATCCTGACTTAATTTCCAGAGCTTAAAGATACATTTTTGAAACAGTCTGCAATGTTATATCTTAAATAATGATTCTTGCCAAAGATATCCATAAATCTGGTCTCCTGCAAACTCAGTTTTCCAAGTAAAATGTTGGAAAAGCTTACTAAAATAACACACCAGAGATCTGAAATATCTGTACATGAAGAAGTACTGACCATGAAGCAAAACAGCAAGAATCGTCACAAGTGTTAGAGACTTGTGAAAACTTCTGCTGATGGGGAAGTAAAGAAGCACCTGGGTGGTCCTGAAGAGTCTTGAGGAACGATGTTCCTCTGTGTCCTTCTTAAAATGAAGACTCTCAAGGTGATAAGAGTCTCTGCTGCATTTCACGCATCAGGCAAAATGTGAATGTGCCCAGCATCCTGTGTTGATGAGGTTTTCTTCCCTCCTTTGTAGAGGAAGCTGTCAATGAAGTAAAGCGTCAGGCGATGGCCGAGTTGCAGAAGGCAGTGTCGGAGGCTGAGAGGAAAGCTCACGACATGATCACTTCAGAGAGAGCTAAGATGGAGCGCACTGTTGCTGAAGCCAAGCGCCAGGCTGCAGAGGATGCACTTGCTGTTATCAACCAGCAGGAGGATTCAAGCGAGGTAAGGTCACAGAGTCATAGAATGGTGTGGATTGAAAGGGACCTGTAAAGGTCAGCTAGTCCAACCCCCCTGCAGTGAGCAGGGACATCTTCTACTAGATCAGGTTGCTCAGAGCCCCGTCCAGCCTGACCTTGAATGTTTCCAGGGATGAGGCTTCTACCATCTCTCTAGGAAACCTCCGCCAGTGTTTCACCACCCTCATTGTAAAAAAATTCTTCCTTATATCTAGTCTAAATCTACCTTCTTTTAGTTTAAAACCATTACCCCTTTTCCTATCACTACAGGCCCTGCTAAAAAGTTTGTCTCCATCTTTCTTAAAGACCCCCTTTAAGCTGGTAGGCATCACCTTGTTGCTGGAAGCCATAGGTGGATCTGAGCTAGCTTTAATCTCACTGGCACAGGCCATTTGTGTGATGTCAGAGTTCAGTGCCCACTATTAACTGTTTGCACAACAGCTTTGGATGCGTATTTCAGGCGCATGCTGAGCTCCAAATATTCTTGGCTATGTTGTCATCTGAGCCCAAAATAGCTAGTGAACTTGAGCTGCAGTCTCACCTTTTAACTGCTGCTCAGGGTTACATACAGTGCACACTTTTCTATTCTAATGTAGCTTTTCAGTAGCTTTATTTTAAAGCTCTTCAAACTAGCATATTGAATAGATAACAAGATTGCTTGGTGGAAAATTTTTCACACTGAAATCTAATTTAAACAAATAAATGATTAATTTAAGTGGTTTTAGTGTAAGCTGGCTAAAAGCCTGTTGGGGTTAGGTTTACAGTTGGACTCAATGATCTTACAGGTCTTTTCCAACCAAAATGGTTCTATGATTCTTTGAAAGTATTGGATGTAGAAGCAATTAGCAAAAGATGATGGTTCCCATAGGGTAAAATGTGAATGTAGATTTGCAAATGTTTCCTTATTTTGAATGTGTTGCTTTGGCTGCAGGGAATATTTGAGAGTTGAGGAGTGGGCAAACAGCATTTGGAAGGGAGAAAAATAGACTGGAAGAGCAACAAAGAGTGAAACAAGAATAAGTTTGTTAAGCCTTGATTGATGTACTTTCAGACCTGAGAGCGGAGGCCTTGAATTCCTGGGGTATGGGACATCTAGCAGCACAACTGGCTGGAAGCTGGAAGTGAAAGGGCAGTGTGCATTTGACCAGTGCTGCAGCAGTCTAGATAGCAATTAAATTTTACGTCTATTACAGAAAAGCAACATCTTAAGTTAAAACTGCCCTTAAAAATAAAGATGACAAAGAAATGCTATCAGTTAAAAGTTACTTGTTTATAATCTTCATCTCTCAAGGCCAGTGAAATGAAAGAATATTACTTTCATTAAGTATTTATTGTTCTTATAGATCTTAGGTTGCAGTAGAACTACTTTTTAAAGTAAATTTAAAGTACAGGGACTCAGAAGAAAAGAGTGGATAATGGTACCTGTGGTGTGGGGACATATATTTGTGTACATTAGTGTCAAAGCACTTTTCATGGGCTGGATGTGCCGCGTTGTAGAAGAGTCACTTAAGTTCAAAGATGCAGATGAGCTGGCTGCAGCGTGCTCAGAAAATTGGCAAAAATCATGAGCAGACAAGTCAGTGGCATGCTGCAGTATGCATCCATAATTTGAGGGAGCGTAAGATTTTAATTCATACCAGGCTTCTCTGGAGATGAAAGACCATTGTGGGATCACTGAATGCCCAGAGTTTCTCCTTAATGTGTAGCAGATGAATAACAAGGAGACAAAAGGAATTGATTTTCAGCATCTGAAAGTTTCTCAGAAAGAAAGGGACTAGGGGAAGTGTATGCACCCTTTAAGTTCTAACTGTTCCATTGTAGATTAAATGAGACATAAATTCAATTTATTGGCATTTTGTATCTGAGATACTCAAGGGCATTTTTGCTGCACTGTGTTCATAGAAAGGGCATTTGTCTGACTTAGCACCCTTAAAGAGCTGTCATTTTATGTGTGTCTATATATGCAAGAGACTTCTGTTGTTAAAACCAAGATTCCAAAGGTAAATGCCTTTGGAGGAAAAAGCAAATTACATCTTTTTAGTGAACTGATAAAGTGTAGGCAGGACAGAGGACTTACTTCAGGGCAACAAAGCTGGTGAAGGGGCTGGAGAACAAGCCTTATGAGGAGTGGCTGAGGGAACTGGGGTTGATACTTATTAACAGTGATACTTATTTGAGAGTTAGATGTGTCCTATTAAGTTCTTATAATTAGTTCCTCTTCAGCTTCTAATTATGCCAAACACTTAGGGCAGTGCTTCGCATGATTACCTGTTAACTCAGGCTGCCTGGTTTTTGAGTAACTCCTGTAAGAGCGGACCAGAATTTTCCTTCATCTTTGGGGACAGGAGATAATTTGCCAGTGTTTGAAAAGTTTTCTTTGGAGATGCAATCTTGTGTTTATCAGGGCTGAGGAGTAAAACCTCACATTTGCTTTGGTGTTAATTATCTCTTGATCTCTCTGTGAATGTCCCTCCTCATTTTTCTGGGTTGTAAGTCTCCACGAACTTCTCTCTGTTTATGGTTTTCAGCAGAACTCTTCCAGCAATGCAGATTCCTGTGTACTAAAGGCACTGGAGTAATATTTCCAGGGCTAGAATATTTCCAGTTCCAAATACGAGAATGCTGAAGAGCAGCTTCTGCAGTCTTACAGGTCTAGAGGAAGGCTGAGCATCACTCCTCATTTCATATCCTTGGTGGGACATGACATCAAGGCCTGCAAGAGAGCCCAGTATGGGCTGCTATATAATCTCCATAAGACTCAAGATCTTTTTTGTTGTTACAGTTTTAAGATCATATGTAGTCTCCTCATCCAAGATCTTTCAGAGGTCTCACAAAGAGAAGTAGATTGGGTTTTTTATATTTTTGTTGTTGGATTTTTTGTGTCTTTTTTCTGGTTTTATTTGGGGGTTTTTGTGCTTTGATTTTCTTTGTTTTTAACACAGAAATGTCGCATCCCTGACTGCAAGATTGTCTTCAAGAAAACAGTGAAGCTGGACATTTTGAACTGACCAGTGCAAAACAAAGAGGGCTTAGGACAATGAGAGGACTAATAGGGGAAGTGTGGTATTTGGAGGCATCTTGAGTTTTCAGAAGTGGTCTGCAGTATTTTGAGAATCACCACATTACATAATATAGTTTTAATCTGTGACTCTGATCTGGTCCCTTGTTCTTTGCTTAGGTTTGAATTGTTCAGTATGTTTTAATTTGCAGTGCAGCTGCTTCAGTGTCTGTACATTTGCTTTCTAAAGATTACCGTAATTTCTCAGCATAAGCCCTTGGGACTGACCAGATCCATGTTCATTATTTTCTGTTATAATAATGAGAGATTGGTTGAAGACCAGCAAACAGAGCACACCGCTGTTGGGAAGCAAATGGACAGGAGAAGGCCTACCTGTCAGCATAGCTGTTCCCTGAACCACAAATTATTCCTTTACCAGCTCCTTACAGTTGCTTGACAAAAGATGACCCATTCATCAGTAGTTGACTTGGCTAAGTACAGAAACATGTGTGAGCAGCCTACTCTTTAATGACTGCCGTACTTGCTTTGGCTGCAGTGTACTGTTGTGCAAATCAATTTTAATAGTAAGGGTGAACAGCTTAGCAAAGAGACTGGCTGCCCAGATTGTACAGGGAGAGGGGGTGGGAAATCATCAAAACATCTGTCTTTCTGCTCTGGTATAAAATGCCACTGAAAAATTTGACACTCAGTGTTCTTCCTCACTTTTGAGTAGGGTGGGGGCTGGGGATGGGAAAGGAACACAAATATTTCAGTTCTCTCTACTTAAAGCAGATGCTGACATCTGCTCAGATAAAATAACTATGTAACTGGTCCAACACTGCTTTTAAGAGATGTGTAATGTTAGGGCTTGTTTATATTGCTGCAGTTTATGTTGTATGTGAATATCACACTTACCTGACATTTTGAAGACAGCTGGGTTCAATCTCTGTTGACCAATCCACTGAGACTAGGATTGTGCCAGCAAACCTGACTCTGAGCATCAGATGCTGTGATTCAGGCAAGCTGAGTTTTCAGGCTGGTATTAAATTTAATACATATGTCAGCTAATGTTTAATTTTTTTGGCTGGGCATCTCTTAGAAAGTAGCACATCAACCCCTGCAGTGATGGGTGGTACAGAGGTGCCAGAGCCATGTGTTCTGCGCAGGATCAGACCAGATGTGATGTGAACATTGGCACTGCCCCAGACTGCTAAGCTAAGCCTGGCTAGCCAGCTTGCACGTCTCTTCCATATGTTTCTCCACACTTCTCTTTTCAGGATTTAGCTTCTCTCATGCTGACTTACATGAACATAGATGCACTTCACACAATAAACAGAGGCTTGGGCAAGCCTGCAGTATTCAGTGATAGGTGTAACTTTACTAGAAGCATCTAAAGGCTTGAATATCTTTAGGAGCACTGCATTTCAAAGTACCAATGTGCTTCCCTTTCTAACAAGTCTTGAACAGAATTTTCATAAACAACTTTGCTGTTTTTTTGCACTGGTGTTCAGTGGCTCATTCAGTCCTCATTTATACCACGGGGGTTTCAGTGATTTCTAGATGTTCTTTTTCTTGTGGTTAGCAGTTACAGAGTTTTGAATGCCAAGGGCTTTGCAGAACTGGGAGAAATCTGGGTTCTTCATATTCAGCCATGTTTCCTTTCCTGTTAAAATGGGGAAATCCAGAATTTGTCAAAGACGACAGAGCAGTGTTTGACAATGTATTATGGCATGTCAGAGTTCATAATCTCTTTGACATGTTACAGTCCATTTGTGTTCTTCTTTAAGCCAACTGTACACTGAGTCTCAGCTGGAGGTGTCAGAGGAAAGAAATACTCAATTGTGGTTAAATATTTCAAAGAAGAAAGCGAGAAGATGGGCAAAATTATTGACAAGTACGGGTCCTGGTACTGTAGACCACAGAAATGGAGACCATTTGTTTTTAAGAATTTTCTTGATGGCAAACAGAAGTTTCTGAGTTCTGTTGTTTGAAGGTGGAAGCTTAAGTGCATAAGAATTAAGAGTCCAGCCTAAGATAAGGCTCTGACCTAAGGCTGATATTCCTTGTTAGTTGAAAGAGCAGGATGAAATACGATTGGTGGCATAGATTCGGAGCAAGATTCCCATCTGGTGTAATTTAGCCCAATTTTGTTGAATTAATCCATTTTCAAGGTAGTGAAGTTAAATTGAGTTATGTAGTTTGAGAATCTGGCCTTTCGTATAACCTCACTGTTATCAATGCAGAGGTTAAATCAGGAAAATCAATGCAGAGTTAAACTGTAATCCAGCCCTCCTCGTAGTCTTAGCTACATCTGGAGCTCTATAAAGCACGAGCTGTAAGTGCAGTGTAGTAGGTCACTATCTAAAGACAGAGAAGACAGACCAGGAGAAGCTTTGAGAGATCTGCTACTCCCTTTCCCAATGCATGATCAAATCTAGCTGTATCATTCCTGTGAGATACCTGCTTTACCTGTGCTTAGTGCTGGAGATTCTCCAGTGCCTCTATGTGATTTGTGCCTGTCCTTTAAAAGATTTCTCATAACATCTCTTTCCAGTTTTTCTTGCAGATGTTTGATCCTGTTACTTTTCCTCTTCATCCATGTAGACATGGTCAGTGTCTGTTTCACTCCAGTAGCTTCCAAGATGTTTGACTGTTGCTGTCCCCTCTCAGGCTACTGTCTCTCCTTAGGTTTAACAGTTCATTCTCTTCTCATAGCTTGTGTTTGTCTGACCTCAGATTATTCTGGCTGCCTTTCACTGGGTTCTTTCCAAGACTTATTTGTCTTGTTTCATTTGCTGTATTTGAAGTGCATCATCCCAGCCTGGACAGTACTCCAGGCTGATCCTTGACAGTGCTAGGAAGTGGAGAGTCTTAACTCAGGTGCAAAGCAGTCCATAGTCCTTCTTGTACACCCTCATGTGATGATTATCACCTTGTCACCGACATGACATTTTGGTCCTTTGCTATCCAAGATGCTGTCTACACAGATCAGCCAGGGTTCTCCATTTTGCTGGTACCTACTAGAGCGTCCCAGAAGGGAAGACACTTTGACCATGCCCAGTCCAATAGTGAGCGCAAGCTCTGTCTCTGATACCTGGATCAACTGGAAATAGGTGAACAAGCATACATGAAGCACAACCCAGGCCATTAGCTGGCATCTCAAGCCTGGCTTTTCTTCTGTCGAATTTGGGCTCTGGAGCTATCAGCCAGCCATGTGAACAGAAATAATCTGTTGCCAAAGTTTGCAGTGCCTGAGCCTGATCTTTGCTGCTGCTTTTCACTACTCACACATGGGAAAGAGCAATGAATGGTCATAGTGGTGAGGACTGTGTAGGACAGGGAGTTCTACGTGTCAAATCCAGCTACTATCGCAGTACAAGCTCCTCATGGCATGTGTTCTTGTTCATGCTAATTTGCACTGCGGTAATTTTTAAATTCAATAAGTTGCTGCATAAATGTGAGCTGTAAAATTTATTTTGAAATTCTTGTATAAGAGATACATTCGTGTATATTCTTGTATATATATAATAACATAAATGTTGTTTTTATTCCTACAATTACACTAAAGCTGTAATGACCTGTTAAATTAGAAAGAATATGTCCAATGGACAAAATCACATAGTGGACAATGTAGGACACACTAAGTAATCATGTAAGGAACCAGCTTAGAGCTTTCTCACTTCATTAAACTCTTGCTCTTATGTATCACTTTTCATGTTCTGTACAGACTGATAGGTAATTGGTCACTATTTTAATAAGAAAGTTAAACCAATACTGTTAAAATTGAACGACTGTTTTCTGACATCAGTACAGATCTTGTGGTAAGATACTGAAATTTCGTAAGGTAGCTCAAGTAACATCTGGAGACAGTTCTGTCTGTGCAGATAGGCGTTCCCCAAAAAGGGAAGCAAAATGAAAATTCCCCAGAAAGTTGACCTATATTAACTAAATAGATATTTGAATAGAAAAAGTTTGATATCCTCATAATAAGCTCAGCACAATTAGAGCACAC